TCTGCCTCCCCCCCCCCGTTCCCCCATTTTAAACTTAAAATCGGTACCCTTAGTAAAGTATTGGTCTTATGTGAATATAATAATAATAATAGATATATGATAATATATAATATAATAGTAATAATATAATAATTAAGTAACAATTAATAATTTAAATAATAATTGTCAATAAATATATAGGGTGTTTTATATAGAGGTGATTGATTTGAAATGATATTGGGTATTGATTGGTGAGGGGATGGTGTGTTGCGTGCGGTTGGTTGTGGTGTGTTTGGTGTGATTGATGTTTTATTATTATTATTATTATTATTATTAGTTATTTATTTATTTATTAATATTATTATTTATTATTGTTTTTGTTTTGTTATTATTATTATTATTATTATTAATATTTGTTATTGTTGTCATTATTATTAATTTTGTTATTGTTATTTAAATCGGTGATGTTTATTGAGTTATTTGTGGTATTATTATTGGTAAAATTACTTAGTATTTTATAGTTATTATTATTATATTGTGATGTTATATTTATTATTATTATTATTGTTATTATTATTTATTAGTATTATATTGTGGTGTTATATTTATTATTATTGTTATTATTTAATAATATATAATGAAAATTAGCAAATTCAGATCGAGCAAGCATGGTCATCTCTAACGGACAATCAACAGAGGATGATATTCTACGATCTGATGGAACGGATCGAGAGTACGCAGTCGGATGTGAGGCTGGATGCGGCTAGGATTGTGTTATATATACTGCAGGTTTATTTTTTATTATATTTAATATTATTTATTATTGTATAATATTTATTATTATATATTATATATATTATTTATTAATATTGTTATAATAGGGAGCATATTTGGATTTTGTGGACGAGGAGTGCGTATCGATAGGAAACGGCTTCCAGTCGAGTCCGAATCGAGAGGGCGGCGACTTGGGCACGGGGGGACACGAGGAGGCGTGTCTTATTCAGGGCATTTTTAACGCTTACAAGGCGTATGAGGCCGGGGTGTATCAGGTTTAGTATTTATTATTGTTATTATTTATTGTTATTTATTATTATTTATTGTTATTTATTATTATTTATTGTTATTATTTGTTTTTTGTTGTATTATTATTGTCGTTGTTAGTAATAATAGGGGTAACTGTTTGGTGATAATTCACTGATAATGACGTCATTTTATTGATAAAAGTAATTTTTATAGGTTGATATTAGTACATTTGAAGTGAGCTGGGTGGCCGATTGGATAGCGTTGTAGGCTGTTGATTAGGAGAGTGGTGGTTCGGTTCCGGGTGAGAGCGTAGTTTTTTGCAGACTCTTTGCACGATGCTGATGCTGGAAGTGGACGACCCGTGGGATGTGTCGTGCCAAGTGGAGTCGAATAGCCGAGGGAGTTCGGTATCGAATAGCAGATCGGCATCGAATGTTGACTTGTCGGATAGTGGTGGGTAATAATGAATGTAATAATTATAATAATAATAATAATAATAATAAGTAATATAAATAATAATAAAAATAATAAAATAATAAATAAAATATTTAGTAGATAAACGGCAGTCGAGTCGAAAGAGCGCTACAACAGCCGACAACGAGGCGTTACGTGTGGTGTTGAGTGCGTTGTATCATTTGGTGGAGTCGATCCGGAGGGTGGACCTTTTTGAGATGGTGGTGCCGGGCGAGAGGAGGACGGCCTGGGGGGCGCTCAGGGAGTCGTTTATTGAGGAGTTGGGTGCGTTTACTTGTTATTTTGTTATTGTTTTTATTGTTTATTTATTATTTTTTATTGTTTTATATAATACTTATTATTAATTATGTATAATAATAAAGTTATAAATTCAGAACAACCCATCGATAATGTGGGTCAGCCACTGGTGATGGTGTTGTTTGAGATGATGCCGGCGTTTTGTCACGGCACGAGTCCGCATTTCCCGATGAAGAAGGTGAATTTTTATTGTTTTGTCATTTATTATTGTCATTTTAGTGTCATTTTGTTGTCATTTTTGTCATTTTGTCATTTTAGTGTGATTTTTGTCATTTTGGTGTCATTTTATTAATGTATAAAAATAATAAATATTAAGGTATTATTATTGGTATGGAAGGTATTGCTGACAATATTGGGTGGGTGGAAGGAACTAAGAGAGGCGAAGGAAAAGAAGAGGAAGGGGGCGGGGCTTGGGACGGTGGAGGACACTTTGCTAGTGGGCGGGGCGATGAGGGCATCGATCATTCACGGGACGGATTTGGAGCAGGGCAATGGGGCGTTGGGTGGGTTGTTTTTGTTATTTATTATTGTTATTATTATTTAGTATTGTTTTTATTATATATTATTATTGTTTTTATTATTATTATTGTTATTATTTATTGTTATTGTAAATTTGAGGCGTGGCAAGACCGCGACGCTCTACGACGGCACATCCAAGCGCGCGGTTGATCGGTAGACAATTGGCCTGTACAGGGTCAGAGGATTCGAAGGATGACTTCGATGACTTGAGTGGGTTATATTTATTATTATTTATTATTATTTTATATTATTATTAATTATCATTGTTATTATTTATTATTATTTAGCACCATCTGGAGATAAGCCAGTAGATGAAGAGCGGCGCGGAAGGGGCGTGGCCAGGTCAGACTCGGATACGGATGCAGATGGTGGGCGTGGTCTGGATGAGGACGATTTGCCACGGGATTCGATTGGAGAGGAAGAGTTGACGTCATTAGAGGATGACGTCATCGGGGAATTAATAGCCGGATGTGAAACAGGGGTGACAGATGATAAAAACGCCGCCGAAAAGGAGACAGCGCAGACGGTGGGCGGAGCCATTAAAAAGGGTACGTTTAACAATAATTATTAATATTATATATTTATTATTATATATATTTATTATTATACATTATTATTATATATATAATAATTATTATAGATATGCCAGCCCCAGAGCCAGGCACGCCCATACCAGGTACCCCGTCCAGTACGACCGCAGCAAAATCATCCAGAAGGGCGAATCCATTACTAAGGTACGGAATTGGGCTGTATTATTTAATATATTTATTGTTGTTTATTATTATTTATTATTATTATTGTATATTATTCATTATTGTATATTATTTATTGTTATTTAATATAATTAAGTGTGACGTCATCTGGTGAACGCACGCCAATAGCCGGAACCCCGCCCCCGATGGAAGTGCTGTTTCGGCCGTCGTTGCCGTGGCAACCGAAGGTGAGGGAGGAGGATATTGAGTCGTTTTTGCAGCATGAAAGGTATTTTTTATTATTTATTATTATTATTGTTATTATTATTGTTATTATTTATTATTGTTATTATTTATTATTGTAAATATTTTTTAAAAATTTAATTTCAGGATGAAATTTTTCGGCTACTGTTTGCCATCGGATTCGAAAACCGTGTTCGGATTGCCCGAACCGATCCAACGGAGTGTTGAGGCGTTACGGAGGCATGTTTATGTGTCGTTGGGTGATATTCAGGTGGGTTTTATTATTATTGTTATTATTTATTATTATTTATTATTTTTGTTATTATATTTATTATTGTATATTATTAATGTATATATATATATATATAATAAATATAATAAATAATTAAGGCGGAACGTGAGAAATCGCTGAATCGATACGTATTCTCGCAACGCGAAACGGATATTGAAATGAGCGTAACAGAGCAATTGTATAGAATGATGCTGCCGAATTTGAGTCAGTA